ATTTACATGTACATTAAAATCTCCATTAATTAATAAAAAATCATAAAAAAAAAATTAAATAACAACATAGAATAGAAAAATCTCATTCAAAATTATCATATTAACAATTACAAATCATAGTATTAAAAATTTTATTCAAAATTATTATATTAGTAGTTACAAATAATAATATTATTACACCTCTAATTATAAGATAAAAAAACTTACAATGACACCAAAATCAAAATAACAATTGAGAGAATGGGTTATTGAAGACAAGATCAGACAGAAAACAAGATTGGTGAGAAGGTTTTAATACCAAGAATTACAATGACTTTACAGCAATGAAAATGGCCATTTATATTGAAGAGAAAACAACTTCCTTTAAGGCCGTGCTACGCAATAACAATTAATAAGAGTCAAGGGCAGTCCCTAAAGCATATTGGCCTATATCTATCAAATCCTGTTTTCAACCATGGCTAATTATATGTAGCTGCATTTAGAGTGACATCTCCAATTGGTCTAAAGATTTTCATTGGTTATGATGAACAAGACCATGAAGGCTACACAGAAAACATTGTTTACACTACAAGAAAATCGAGCTTCACCGACTAATTATCACCGAGGTAAGAAGATTTCTCGGTGAAGTATCAATTTACCGACAAGAATCATGTCTGCAACTTGAGAAACAGTGCAAACGCGAGTAAGATATATTATTTACTATACAGACGTAACACTTGTCAGTAATTTAAGAAAATACATACGTGCCATTCGTCGGTAAATGCAGTATCCACTCCGGCTGGTCGGGCAAGGACGGAGACTCATATCACCGACAAGGAGAACGCCTGTAAGTTCAAATTTGGAACGAGGATCTCGTCGGTAATTGGGGATCAATTTCCAACGTTCTCCTTCTCGGTAATTGCCACTCCCAATGCAACCCGCGTCAACCAGCTGGCCGCCTGCGGCAGGGGGAGTGCAGCTTTTTGCTCAAATTGCCGACATAAGCCTTGTCGGTAATTTGGCATTCAGCAACTTTCCCGCGAATCCGGCTGCTGGCCGGTGGCGTGGCAGCCTTTATTTGATTACCGATGAGATGCAGGTCGGTAAAATGTATATTGCCAACTTGATGCTCGTCGGTGATGGGCCCGGTCAACGAGAATCCTGTCACCGTGCAGAGGTGGTCAGCTTTAGACTGTAGCAACGTGAGTTTCGTCGGTAAATTTGCCTATGCCCTGCCGACCCGCCCTTCTGCCTTCATTTTGGTCTTTCTCCTTCCATTTTCATTTCCCTCTTGTCCCGCGAGTTATTCTTGCTCCCTTTCCTCCATCCTTTCCTCCATTCTTTCCTTT